CTGCGTGCTGCTTGCTGGGAGCTGAAGCCACGCATTTCAAGTGTGAGAAGAAATTCAGAGGTGCTTTCTGCCTTTCCCTTTTGATACGGCCTGGTGCTCGTGCTGGCTCGTCAGGAAGCCCTGGCTGGCTGCCTGCGCTAGTTCAGATGCTGCTTCTCAGCCGAGACGTGTTTTCTGGCATCTTCTCTGAATTGTCTTCCTCCACCCCCCCCTTAATTTTAATCTTTTTATCAGCTGTCCCTTACGGGAAGTCACAGCCGTCTCATTTGATGGATGCATTTCATTTTCAGACTTTCTGTATTTTGACTGCAACACGTCTGCTACATGTGTATAGCCTTTAACTTTCACAGCTCGCATCTTAGCACTCTGTTTCTTAATGCTTTTGTACAGAATGCATTGACCAGGCAGGGCTGCATTTAGAGTGGTCTGAACAATCATAGCATCCCAGTTGCAGTCTTCACCTCCTCTTATCATCTAAATGGGTTGCTCAGGTGTGTCATGTCTTGTTTTTGATTGAATAAGTGTAAAATTAGATCCAGACCTCCTTCAGCGTGTGTGTGACTTGTCAGAATTTCATGGCTTTCTAGCAGATTACACTGGGTGAGTATTAAATGTCATTTTTGCAAAGGCTGCTGTCAGCTCAGTAGTTCAAAAACAAAGAACAAATAAAAAAGCCAACAGTAACAAATGTAAACTGCTGGTCCGGCACTTTTGGAGAATGTACTTTGAAAACTAGCCATGTTTGATTGCAATTACTACCACCCCAATTGAGAGTGAGTGGCAAATGGCAGGTCTCTAGCGTGTTGCATTTTTGGAGGGGTCATGTTGGTACAGCCTGCAGCTGAAGAGCTTATGTGGTGTTTATATTCTAATGTATTTTTAGTTGCAGTCACATTGTATATCTCCTCGTAAACACTTTAATAAAGTAAAGCCTTTATTAAAGATGCAGCACCATCTCCGACCCAAGAAAGGAGTCCAGATAAATCTCCCTGTTATGCAAATTTACTTTGACTTCTCTAGAGCATCATAAAGCATCAAATACTGTCTTATAAAGAAGACTTCTTTGTTAGATCTTAAAGGAGGCTTCTGCTGGATGTTTGTGAACTTTCTTAAATTCCTTTTCAGTGGATAGAAGCCGTTCGTGGCTTTTTCCAGGTTTATAATGAAGGGGTTTTGCCAGTCAATTTGCCTTAGCTGGTTTTGAGAGATCTGAGTGACTTTTTTTTTTTCCCTTGATCAGTTTTTAAAATTCATTCTCTGCATGTAAACAAAACTTGAAACCTGTATTTTGAACTTAAACTCATTCTAAGTTTTAGACATCCAGGGCAGTATTTTCTGGGTTTCATGAAGTTTGTATTTAAGCCCAAAGATTCGACAATTTTAACTTCTCAGCTTCTGCCATCACTTGCAGTTCCCTGATGACAGATCTAGAGAGTCTGTGGGCTGGAAGAAGCCAAGGGAGCTGCTCTGATCCCAACCCTGCACCATTTTGTGAGTTCAGATGCACCGATAAGGCTGTTGATGAACCTGGTAACGATGATGAGGGTGTTCCTTGGTGAGCAGCAGCCCTCCTGCTGGTCTGTGTTGTCCTTTGCTTACTGGGAGCAAGCAATCCGACATGTGAATGGAGGGTGAGGGGCCTGAAAATGTCTGAACACCCATCTGTTGATGCAGTATACTGCATAAGAGGAGCAAAGGGATATCTTGTCTTGTGTAGGTTCATGCTCCTCTGGCCCATGCTAAAACTTGAGAGTCATTTTCTGTGTCGGACAGTAGATGCGCAGAGGGTTTCCAAGGAGTAAATTCATCCCTGTCCTGTGGGGTATCAGCATTGTGGCGGGGATGGGCAGGCTGGTGGTGGCTGTGAATAGAGAGGCCCATGACAAAAAGCAGATGTTAACTCAGAGATGAGAATTGCCGAATGCCACAAGCGAAGCATTTCTGAGGCTCCGCAGGAGCTTGAGCGTTGGGATAGGGCCAGCTCAGAGCTGTGCACTGATGAGAAGAGGAACTGAAGGCGGCAGGTCCAGTGTGCATGAAACGCACTACAGAAGCCAGGCACGAGCTGGAGGCAGGGCAGAAATCTGGGGTTTCATCCCGGGTTCCCTTCCAGAGCCACTTGTCACGTTTCTGAATACACCCTCACTGAGCTGCACCAAATCAGATACGAATCATTTCAGTTAGCTTGTTAACTGTTGAAACTTCCTGCAGCAAAGCTCCTGTTCCCCGCAAGCCTGACTGCTGTCTCTCATGGCTGTATAGCCCTGAAGCTGGAGTTAAATCAGTTTTTGCAGGGCCATCTGTCAGCTTCTTTGAGATGAGCACAGCTGAGTGCTGTGCACCAAGTAGCCAGTGGAAGATTTTTTTTTTTTCATTTTCTGCCTAGACAAGTTGATTTTATAAAGCAATTTTTTTTTTCTTGGGTGAAGCGGAGGGTATGGAGGTTTTACTGGCGATGCTGTTGTCTACCTGAAGCATCCTTTCTCCTGAAGATCCACAGTTCCTCACCTCTGGTAAGGAACCTTTCCTTAATGCAGGCAGTTTGTGTAGATTCCACTTTTGGTATGTGTACAGCAGCAGACACTTAAAAGCTGGGAATGAAAGTGACTTGTGGTGATTATCACAAAATTAAAGATAATCTCCTGCTCTGGAATTGTGACATCGTGCAGAGAAGAGATTAGAGCAATAGGGGAGCGGTTGTGGCCATGGCAGGGGGAACACAGTCTCCCTGGCCCAGGGCCCTCTTGGCTGCAGCGTGTTCCCAGCAATTTCCAGTGTTCAGCTTGGAGCACCACTTGCCCCTTTGGGTTCCTCTGTGGTCTTGAGTTGCTACTCCAGCCCATGCCCTGAAAGTTCGTTAGCCAAGTGCTCACTTAGTGCCGTATCTTCTGCTCCCCTGGCCATTGGGGGCTCTTTGTTGAATGATCATAAAATTGTGTTGTCTGAGGCCAAAGAGCTAAGTTTTCAGCGCAAAAGTGCAGGCTTTGAGCTGGCAGTGGCCCTCTGAGCTGTGTGCTGGTGCAGTCCCAAAGAGCTGGAGGGAGTGATGAGGTTTCATGTTGCTCATCGCACACGGTGACGGCCCCTTGTGCAACCCAGGGCAGTGCTGGAGAGGAGCTGCTCCGCCTGGGCGAGGGGCTCCCGCTCTGCTTACCTCCCCTTCTCCTGGTGGGGATGGGATTGTGCAGTGTATCTCAGGGAGGGAGAAGGATTTCAGACCTTCGCTTCAGTCTCTTAATTCTGTTCCTGATGTGAAACCTGGGCACTAGAGTGCACAATGTAAAACAAAACAACGAGCAGTGAGTCTTCCTGTGCCACTCCGGCTTGCAGACGTGGGTCGAGCTCTTGGGCTGGGGTTTGCACTGTGGACAGTTGAGCTACCTTGACAAGACCCGTTTTGCACCAGGGGACCCCCAGTTTGCAGAGACCAGGCTGGTGAAATAACCACAGCACTTCTGATGAAGAGCAGTTTTCATCTCCCCTGTGACCACCAAGGGCCTTTTGTTGGGTTTGTTGGTTTTTTGCTTCCCAGTGTCTGAAATATGTCCTGAATTACAACTGAATCATGCACTCTTAGCATTGTTGTCATCTGCAGAGCGTTGCGCTCCTGTTACACCCAACTTCTTGCTCAGGCTCATTTTGAAACAAGCCTCGAAGCATCACTGCTTGTATCTGAGGATGTTAAGCAGCTAAACCATCATAGTTCCATTACCCCAGCTAAATCATCATAGTTCCTCCTTGGCCAGATGGGGGAGATGCTGAAGCAGCAGTGTGTTGGGCTGGATCCTCTGGGGCTTCTCCTGCTTTTCAGCTGGGAGGGCTGGACATCTCCCGCTCCCCCGGAGAGGGACTACCCCCCCAGCTTGGGTGTGCATGTCCCTCTCCTCGAGTCAGAGGGCTTGCGTACCAGCAGATTGTGTGATCCACCCGTTGCTCTCAAGTGGAGGAGTAGTTGAGGGTTTGGAAGAGCCTTTCTGCAGAGCCAAAAGTCTCAAGCTCCACTCAATGGTTTCTTGTGAAGTCAGCCCTTTCTAAAGGATTGTGGGTTGGTTAATGATCTATGCTTGTAGGAACATTTCAGACAGGAGCACAGAGTGGCAGGCTCATACCTGGAAACAGATGGAAACACGGGTTTGCATGGTTTGCTAGTGGGCTTCTCTCCTAGTAACTGGGTGGCTGGGGGGCTGCCTTGGCAGGGAATGCCCTGCTGCCGGCTTGGGGTGGGGAGCTCTTCTCGAGCAGCTCTTGATCTTTCTTCATGGTGGCTCTCTGGAGCCAGTTGGGCTGGAGCTTGTGGTCCCACACGCAAGGCGCTCAGGTCAGCAAACACCTTGTGGGGCTGGTGGCAGAGGAGTTTCTTCTCACTGTTGTCTAAAAATAAGGAGCTCCTTGCAGACTTGGGCTTGTGCTAGGAAGTGGAAAGATGGCCTCGTGTTAGAGGAGGGTTTGGGCCCACGTTTCCAGCTGTGATTATATATCTCAGAGCTTTAGGCAAAATCCTAATTTCTCACCGTTCACTGTAATGGAGTAATGGTGACTTCTCCCAAAGGCAGCGTTAGATAAATGATGTGTCCATTTTTGCAATACATTTGGACTTTGGATTCTATAAATAGATTCAATTATCAATATAGCTTGTCAAGTGCCTTCTGAGTAGCTGGAAAGCAGCTGCTTAAGTGTGTCTCTGGGCTTCTGTACGTAACCAACTCTTCAGTGTAGTGTGGACCCGTTGCTCACGGTGCAGCAGGGATTTACAAGAACTCTCTCTACTGAAGGAGACATTATTGCTAGGAAGAATTGTGCATCTTTGTGTTCCTGCATACGAAATTGCAGAAACTTCAGCCTCCTGCACTGTTGAAACTGAAAACAGCAGAACTACCTGCTTGAAAAGCTTGCCAGCTCGCTTGAAAGAGTGAAGCATTAAGCTATTTTCTCAGTGGGTTTGTTGGTTTTTTTTGTCTGATGTCCCTACTTTTACTGATGCTCTGCTCTTCTCTCCTCAGGTCTAGCACCGAAGAAGGCAGCCATCACCGAGGTGAGATGTGTAAAGCTGGCCTTGAAAATCCCACGCTGAAAAATGAGAACACAGAGCTGTAGGAAACACTTCTGCCTGACTTGAGCAAAGCAGGATTTCAGAATACATTTAAGATTACAGAAAATTTGATATCTGTTATCTGGGAGAAGGCAAATTAGCAGCAGGTGTCTCCCATGTTGGCATCAGCACAGCCACAGAAAGGATCTGAAAGGATTATGCCCACCATGTCGCCAATTTTAGCTGCATGATCCATTTTGTCTGTAAGTGGCTGGGGGCACCTCTTTTACACCAGAACCTGAGGTGATAAATGGAGAATTGGGCGTCTCCAGATCTCTGTGTTGGGTCTCACCCACTCCTGGGAGCCAGTCAAGCCATAAAAGGGGAACATCTTGAGGGACTGATCTTCTCTCAGATAATCCAGGTCACAGGTTGCTGAATCACCGTTACCTTCTGGAGCAAAACTCTTCACAGTTGGCAGCAAAGAATCTAGTAGGAGGATCTGTGCTTGAAAGCTGTTCCCTGAAGCCCACACTTTTGGTTTAGGGCATCATGTTCAAATGATTCTTGATTGATCTAATTTTCTGACATACCCTTTACATTGCTCACCTGGGATGATGAGCATTTGTATACATGAATAGCAAAATCTCCCCATAAAACTGCCAGGAATGTGACACTTGCTTCTTTATTGCTTTCCCAGAAATAACATGGTAGGAAGCTCAACTTCTGTGAAAGTTGAGTGCTTTGTTCAATACACAAGTAACCCTGCTTTTTCTTGCCCTGGAAACAGTCACAGGTAAAGCAAGAGTCTGTGGAAGAGACTTGTGTTACTGCGTTTCGTATGATGACAGTCTCTTAACCAATACTTGTGTCTGTTAATTGCTCTGGGAGCATGGTGATGGGCCACGTGGCGTGAGGCAGGACATACAGCTTGAGCTTGTGTGTAATAGGATCCAGCTTGCTGGTTAGAAGCTGCAAGGAAGGGATAAGCTGTACTGCTGATCACGACTGCTTGGAGAAGGAGTACTGGGAAGCAAGCCTGGCTGTGCTAAATGTTTAAAACGGAGTAGGAAATAAGATTTTTGAAGGAGAAATCAAGACTGCCCCTTAATACCACAAGTACAAGTGGTTTGACCAGAAATAGCTGCAAGTTCTTGATTAAAAGCTAAAACACAAAGAACTTCTGTAGTCAGAACAAAATTATCATTGTCTGCTGTAGACATCAGTGCTGAGAGACGGGTCTGTGCAGCACTTGAGAGAGCGATATAATATTGTCACTTGGGAAGTGACCTTGGGTCTCTGTGTGCTGCTTAGAGGAACATCCGAGGTCTGGCCGTTCTGTAACGTAACAAACCCCACAATGTCTCTGGTGGCTCAGGGGTAGTTTGAGCTGTCTGCTAGGCTCCGCAGTTGGTTGGGGTGGTGGGAGAGCTGGGGAGTAGGTGAAGTGTTGCTCTGTGGCAGAGTACAGAGGCCCTGTGCCAGGGGCTGCAAGAGGAACTGTGTCAGACAACGCAAAACGTGCTTCCAGTGGCTTGTTAAAGGGTGCAGCCACAGTTGGCTCGATCCTGGATCAGGAAAAAACAAAAGGCTCAGGCAGATTCACAGGTAGAAGAGGAGGAGAATGGGGTAGGCATAGGTGTGTTCTCACTCCAGAGTGCTGGCAGTCCTACAGTGTTTCTGGAAACTCTTTGCAAAACTTTAGGAAGAGCTGTTAGTGCAGTTCACCCTGTGTGGGCTCGTCCTTTCAGTTGTAAACAAATGAGATTTGCTTAAATGGATTATCTCCATGTGAACACAGGCATGGGGCTGTGTTGTCCCTGTTATCTGTCTCTTATTTCTCCAGTGAAGCACAAGGTATTGGTATGACACCTGAGGGCATGGGATTTTTAAGAATAAACTTCTCTTGCTCTTTGATGTAATACACCACTATTATAAATCATTGAGAAACCACAGTCAAGCAACGGGGCGATCTTTGCAGCTGGGAAGGAAGCTCTTTCCTGAGCTCAGCATCTTTGCTGAGGACTCAGCCCAGTTGTTACTGAGGGTGTCAGAGGGAGTGGTTGGGTGTTGTAACTCATCCTGTCTTGCGGGACGGAGGTGTAATTCAGACAGCCTTGTTTAAAGCTTGCCAGTACCAATTACACCTGCTTGCACCCTGCAGATTTTTCTCCAGCAGTAGAGAGCGGTGCCTCTGTCCTTTACAGCTGTGGTAGCATGGTGTGCCTGTGCTGTTCTGCTTGTTCTTGTCAGCCAGGTCAGCTTCTGATCTGGGCTTTAGCCATCCTCTTTCATTGCAGGGACCATCACTACCAGGACAGCCTGGACAAGGGAAGAAGATAGGTCATCGAGGCGTTGATGCTTCTGGTGAAACCACCTACAAAAAGGTTTGGTTTGGGGGAGTGGGGAGCTAGAGCTATGTGTCAGTGACAGGCTGAGAAGAGAAGTTGGGGCCCAGTAGCTACCAATCTGATGTAGATTTTAGGCAGCACCCTTGTACTGCATAATCTTGTAAATGGCAAGCCTGGAAGCCTTAATCCATCTCTTCAGCAGCTGCTTGAACTCATTTAGCGGTATGTAGTGCCCAAGATGACCCCACAGAAGTCACAGACATGACTGGATCCTAATGCAGGGGATGTTACTGTGATAATCTGCTGTGAAATGCTTACTGACTGCCCTTTTCTTTCTGTCAGACCACCTCATCCACTCTGAAGGGGGCCATCCAGCTGGGGATTGGATATACTGTCGGCAATTTGAGCTCCAAGCCAGAGAGAGATGTCCTGATGCAGGACTTCTACGTGGTGGAGAGCATTTTTTTCCCAAGGTAAGGGAGACAGGGGAAACAAAACGAGTGGATGAGCTATTTCTTTTCCTCTCACTGATTTTTCAAGAGAGCTTCCATCTGTCTTTAGATCAGAGTTGGATGCTCTGAGTGTTTTAAATATGCATCCATTACATACAAACGTAACAGTGGGAAGTGTTAGATTCTGCAGTACACTGGCTGCAGGGAGCTACAGTGTAAGATGCAGTACTGTGTGCTTGAGTTTGTTAGCCTCCTACATGCTTTTCTTTCTACCTGTCCATTTAGAATTTTTTCTGCAGAGCTATACCATGTTTGAGATGGAAGAAACTCAGTCTTTAATTCTGTGAATAAACAAAGCTCCTAAAAGCTATATGCTCTGTGTAAATATATTCTGCTTGGCAAGTGCTTGTTCCTTGCACTGTTTGGAAATAGATTTGGTAGATCATTTAAAACCTATTTTTCTGTTGTCCTGCCACGTAAGAAAGGTGTTTGTTGTTACTAAGATGTCTTTTTACAAGGCTCAACTAATCTTAAATACACTGTCACCTTGATACGACTGTACGTATCTGGTGAATGGTAATGCAGAGGCCCTGCTCACGTGACGTCTGTTCTGTGCAGCGAAGGGAGTAATCTCACCCCGGCTCACCATTATGCTGACTTCAGGTTCAAGACCTATGCACCAGTGGCTTTTCGGTACTTCCGAGAACTCTTTGGCATTCGTCCAGATGATTATTTGGTATGTTTTCCTTCTTTATTTGAGATGATCTAGAGTAATGCGAGAAATCCACCCCTAAATCAAGGCTGTCGGTAATTCTTGCCTAAAACAGATATAAAAGTGTTGAGGAATTGGTCTGATCCCAGCAAGGAGTGGGAACAGGCTGTGGATTTAGGGACTGTTCAGTTTTGGAGGAGATCCAGTGACAGTCCCAGCAAGACCAGCACCACTTAGCCGAAGTCTTTGCTAATCTTACCACAAGGTTACGCTGGAGGGAGAGGAAATGATCCGCATCCAGCGTGCACTGTGTAAGCCGTGCAGTGGGGTTCCCTTTCTGTTTCTTGTGGTGACAATAATGTACTGTGTTTACAAGCAAAAGGAGTTGTGTTCTGCTGGGTGCAACCCTGTAATGTCCCCTGGGGCTCTGAGGACAAAGATGGGAATTTTTCCTGTGTACTCACTCAAGAGCTATGTGAGTGTAGTTATTTTAATCATCTTACAAAGACAAAATAAAATACAGCTTGTTCTTGTGCTCAGAAAGCTCCTCAGAGCTGGAAAGGCTGTTTTTAAAATACCTAGTAATACAGGCTGTTGGAGCTTGGAGTACACTGGGGTTGAACTTGGTCCCTTGCACGTATGTGACATCCTGCTCTTCGGAAAAGGACGTTTGTTGAACCGGGGAAGGGAACAATGCATCCAAACAAGTGCATGCCCTCCACCTTTCTTAACAGCCCTTTTATTCTGGCTTCAGCTGTAGACAGGGGTAATCGTAGCTGAACACCTACGAGTGGAAACAAATCTGTGCCATTGCACGGTTTGACAGTAACATTGGTCCCTGTCTGTGCCATCCAAGATAATGCTGGCTGGTTTGATGAGTGGCTCAAAACTTGGGTGAGGCAAAGAGCCTGCCTCAGTCGCAAAGGTCACAGCTCTGATTTGTTGCTTCTGCTTCCCCTGATTCTCTCTTGCCTGCTACAGCAGCAAATGTCTTTAATTATGCATGAGATAATTAACTTGATAAAGTCCTGGATCATTAATCTGTGCAGGGCTGAAAGCTGTTTTCAGCACGTAATGACGAGCATTTAATTTATTGCTCTGATTATGTCCCTTACATATTGTATGCCATGATTGTGCCCCTCCCTCTCCCTATCTTACCTCTTGCTGTGGCAGCTCTGATGTGAGACTGCCTCGAACCCCCTTGCCCTGCACAGTTACCTTGGGGTTGGTACCTGGCTGCAAAGTGCTCGTGCGTGCTTGTGCTTTCTTCTTTTATTTTCCTGCTGCAAGGCATGTCCTCGTTTGAGGACCTGCTGTTTGCATACTGATGTCTAGAAATGTCTTCCCAGTTCAGTTCCTGATGCAGTACCCCTTGCTGTGCTTACCCGGCGCTGATCCCTCTTCTTGTTTGGACACCTGGTCTGACACTTCTCGTGTGTTTCTAGCAGGACTGAGGGGGGTGAGATATGGCTGTAAAAATTCTCTGTAGCAGGGCAGCACAAGGCCAGAGGAGGCTGCTGAGAACAGCCGGCGCATTGTGTTCCCTCCAGCTCGGTCATACGTGGTACCCTGAGCAGACTGGCATGTCTCTTAAAATCCTCTCTTTCCATCTGCCCTTGTGGTCATGTGCTGAAAGAAGCCTAAATGTGATACACGTGTACACGCACAATGGGAAAAGATAAGATGTCATTGTGAAGGCTGGATGTTACTGAAAGCAGATGATTAGCTTGATTCTGAGCAGTTGGGATGCTCTGAACTGTAATCTCGGTCTCTAGTTGTAAACTGTCCATCAGCTTTGCTGCTTAGACCTAACCTATAATAAAAATAGTTCTCACTTCAGCTTTGCTGCCCCTTAATCTCACAGGGAGACAGCATGCTGGGGAAAGCCCTCAAGAACTCAAGGTGCAACGAGTGGGAGCTAAAAACATCATCTTTTTTCTTTTCCTCCGTAGTATTCGTTATGTAACGAGCCTCTGATAGAGCTGTCGAACCCTGGTGCCAGCGGCTCCCTCTTCTATGTCACCAGTGACGATGAATTCATCATAAAAACTGTGATGCACAAGGAAGCTGAATTCCTACAGAAGCTCCTTCCTGGCTACTACATGGTGTGTATCGATCACCCTTGGGCTTGTCACGGCAGTTTTTCTGTCTAAAGCATCACACAGGGCATGTCCTCCATCTGGGTTTATTAACAGTGTCATGAGGCCATTGCAGAAGCACAAATCTTGCCAATTATTTGCAGATTCTGTGGCTAAACTTGAGGCAGATAATTGTGCCATGGCTTGTAGGCATGTTCTGGCCTGAAAATGGCTTCCCAGATGTGTGCTTCTGGGTGTCCTTTCCCCACCACTAATTCAGTCTTCTCTGCTTGGCACCATGCATCTGCCTCAGCCTGGCTTTGAGGATGGCTGTCGATTGCAGTAACATGGCCACCTTGATTTTGTGGGGAAACTGGTGCTGTCGCTGGGTATCTCCCCATCTGGTGTTTCACAGTTACTCTGAAGGCAGTTGCTGCTTGTCCTGGCTCCTACCAGCTGCAGTACTGAGCTAAAGACTCCTTCAGTACCAGCCAGCTTTGCACATCCACTCTGCCGCAGATAGTTGTTGCCTGTCTCAGGGCTAGCAAGGCAATATATTGAGACCCAGAGGACTTGCAAGTGGTGACAACCAGTAAATCAGAACCAAATGTGATGTTTTGGGGTGTAGAACAGGAGCTGTCTCCCTGTGTAACCGTGGTGAAGGGTCCAGCTCTATAGATGAGGCCGCTGACATTCAGTTAGAACCACCCAGGGGTTTGCTGTGGAGAGGCCAAGGGGAAGGTGATGGCAGGCGATGGTAATGCTGCCCCATCTGCGTGCATGTTGCAGTGGATTTGATTCATGTGATCATACACTTCTCATGAAAATACTTCACTTGCTCAGTATTAACTGGCGAGAATTTGCCAAGGTGAGACAAGGTGTGTGTATATAACCGACAGCCAGTCGCTTGATTTTGCAAGTGACAGCCAGATTCCTGGACAGGATGAGCTTGCCTGGAAAGTGTTGCCTGTTACCTGCTGGATGGAGTAAATCCAGTGGAGGGTTTTGAATGGGAATGGAGTTGCACTGTTCTGAATTCTACAGTTGTCCTGGTTAGCAATCGGTGTAATGAATTGAGCTGAACTAACCTGTCTGGTGCAGAGTTAGCTTCTACTTGTAGCATTCCAGTGTTTGAGGGTTACTGTGGTGCTAACACCTGATCTCTCTGCCGTTCTTGGGGAACCCCCGTGGTGTAAAAGGAGCCAGTGGAAAGGAAGCAGAGTGGTTTCATCCTGAGCTACTTTAAAGCTGGGCCAGTGCTGTTTGTGTTTAGTCTTGCCTGCCTCTGTTTTTCACCTGCGCCACGTTGAACAGTGCCCTCACAAAGAGGGCTGACTCGTGTGCCCAGTTAAGTAAGATGAGGAGGTGCATGAAATTTTAATACAGTCGTGCTTCTGCTGTCTGTCAGAATCTGTCAGGTCTGTCCGTCCTTTCGTAGCAGAGATGTTCTGTTTCCTTCACAAACTTTCCTAAAGCTGAACAAGCAAATCATGCTTGTCATGTCATTCCTAATAATACTGCTACCTAAAAAAAGGACATGACAGCAGAGCAGGATATCCGTGCTCTCTGGCCAACTGTGTTTTATAAAGTAACTCTGCAAAAGGAGGAGAAAATTTATGTTGTTTTGTTTAAAAAAAGTACCCTGTCCCTGGTTTATTCTGGGCCAGGGAACGGCTCTTGATTTCTGACACTTCTGAAGAGATGAAGATAGCTGTTATTTTTAAACTTTGAAGTTCCCACTTATTGTGTTTATTTCTCTTCCAGTTTGGTTTCCCTTTTTTAGCTGCTGTTGATGGGGAAAGCGGGGAATTTCCGGACTTGGTTATTTGCCCAGAGAGTGCTGAACATCTCATTCCCTGTATTCAAGGCATTGTGGTATTTTCAGGTCCTAAAGCCACTGAAAGGAAAGAGTTTGTCACATGTATACAGTAAGCTCTCACGTAAAGTTCAGGAAATCTGTAGGTGAAGAACCCCTCCTCTAACCGCCCCGAGATCTGTTAACATACTTCGTGTTGAACACAACAGGAGTCTTCTGCCAAAATGACCTTTCCCCATGCTTTTTTTCCAACCCTCCTGCAGAATCTGAACCAGAACCCACGGACGCTGCTGCCGAAGTTTTATGGACTGTACTGTGTGCAGTCAGGGGGCAAAAACATCCGCGTGGTCGTGATGAACAACATTCTGCCTCGTGTGGTGAAAATGCACCTGAAATTTGACCTGAAAGGCTCAACCTATAAACGCCGGGCATCAAAGAAGGAAAAAGAAAAGTCCAGCCCTACGTACAAGGATCTAGACTTCATACAAGACATGCCTGAGGGCCTGATGTTGGATGCAGACACCTTCAGTGCATTGGTGAAAACTTTGCAACGAGACTGTCTGGTAAGGAGAAGCAGGTTAATGAAGTTCTGCGGCTCTTGAGAGGAAGAGCAAATGATTGAGAACTTTGCTAATCTGCTAACCCCAAAGCAGGATAAATCTCTTCCACTGCCCTTTTTCCCGAAAGCAAAGCAGTGGAGTTGGATCTCATGACAGCCTCTGAGGACTAAGGCTGCGTTCCTTTGCTTGGTGCATCAAGCTGTGGCAACCTGCTCCACTTGTAGCTGAGCTCTTGGGACTAAATACATTTTTTTCCTATACAGTGTGGAGCAGATACACGGTACAACAATGTTATTTGCCAGCCTTTTGGGCCTTTGGGTTGATTGTTGGATGGCCAAGCTATGCAGTCAAGTCCAGAGATGACTCTTGGTTCTGAAATGTTCAAACTGTGGCAGAGGGAGTTGTTAGTGGGAGTGGGGACAGGATCTTCTGTGCTTTGGGATCTGTGCTGGGTTTGAGCTGCTGGACTGATACTTTGTCTTTGTTCTTCAACTCAATACTAACCTGTAGGTGCTGGAAAGTTTTAAAATCATGGACTACAGCCTCCTGCTTGGGGTTCATAACATAGACCAGCAAGAACGGGAGCGGCAGTCTGAGGGAGCCCACAGCACGTCGGATGAGAAGCGTCCCATGGGGCAGAAGGCACTTTACTCCACGGCCATGGAGTCCATCCAGGGTGGGGCTGCCCGGGGGGAGTCCATAGACACAGATGACACGTAGGTGCAAACCTGGTTCGCTTGCGCTGCTGGGAGGAGTGGAGGTGGAGGCTGGAGTAGTGAATCCTTGATGAGGCTCATAAGAACTGCTAGAGTGAGCATCTCTGCGGGGGTCATGGTACTGCTGCCGGTAAAGCAGTGTGGTGTGAAAGAGGGAAGCTGGGGTGGGAAATGCTTCTGTGAGATCACAGCCTCACGGCGATCTCTTAGGCCAGTCTGTAGGTTGTCAGCTCCTGTAACAGCCTCTAAACATCCACCCATGCTCTGGGGAGGAGAAATTAGCTCAGTATCCAAATACCGGAGTGGAAGAAGGGATCAGCCTGTCCCTAGGAGCTTGGAGTTTGTTCTCCATCGCTCCCTCTTTGGAAGTCCTGACAGTACCGTGAGGCCATCCCAGTGTGGTTAGCAAACAGCAGCGTATCTAAGTGCTGGAGTAAGTGGTGGAGCTGTGGGAGGTTGCCCAAACCTGTCCTGTGCTGTGCCTGGTCGATGGCTCTTGGGCTGAGGGTGGCTGTTGTGACTGTCTCTCTGTCCATGGACCAAGCTTGCTAACAAGTGGTGGAGTTTGCTGTTGGTTGCTGTCTGGAACCAGCTGCTCCAGTTTTGATGGAGGATCAGTCACAGCGGGGCCAGGACAATGCTTTGGAGTTTCCATTCTTTCAAGTAGCATCATTAATTGTAGTGGCCTGCCTGATACTTGCATGCTTTTGTTGTGTGCTGGTGCTAGTGGTTGCTGCACCATTGGCAGGACTGATATTAGTGTGCATGGGACTGGAAATAGCCTTGTCCTTAAAGGTTTGCTGCCCTGACAGGCAGACAGCTCGCTCTGACCTGATAAATAATCTGATCTCCAGAATAGAGTGTCCTGTAGCTAAGAAAAAACAATGTGGTGCTTCCTGGCCCAGGCAGAGCTGCTGCCATGGAACACGGGTCCTGTCCTGATGGTGTTTGGTGATCCAGGCAGGCAGCAACCCTGGGGGCACTGTGTGAGGTGGCCTGGGTCAGTGGGTGACTTCCCATGGTTGTGCCCAAAGTGACTTTGTGGCTGACCACCACATCAGAGCCCTCTCTTCAGTGCTGCTGTCTGCCCTTCCGCAGGTCTCGGGGTAGTACAGGTACTTTTTTTGAGGCTGCACTCTCTGAGGTTCTGTTTTACCTGCAGGATGGGAGGAATCCCAGCAGTGAATGGCAAAGGAGAGCGTCTCCTCCTACATGTAGGAATAATAGATATCCTTCAGTCATACAGGTAGGTAACTTTGCAGTTGTCTGTCCTTTAAGTGTGTTAGCATCTATTTTAATACTGAATGAAAGAAGGCAGACTTTCCTCTCCTGAAGAATTTGGTAACGAGTAGGCAGGCTGCCTGAAGCCGTCTGTCGATGTGCACTGGGGGCTGTGGATTTTTATCCTGCCCTTGGAACAGCTGGTGACACAGAGCCATGCTTCTAAGATACAGTGAGCTGCTCATAAAGAAGTTCCTGTCTCTGTGCCTGGGGTGAGCAGCATATCCCCAGGGATGGAAGGTGATTTCTTCCCCTCTTCCAGCCCAGCTCCTCCTTCCCTTAGAGTTCCCAGGCAGTCCTGACCTGACTGCAGAGATGCTGGTGTGCTCAGCTGACCTCTCTTGGCCGGAGGAAAGCTACTCTCCGGATGAAGGAGGAATCATTAGCAGCTTAGTGACCTCTCCTGTGTGGGGTATGAAAGGTGGCTTTATATAGAATACGTGCCTGAATCTCCCTCTCTCTCTCTCCGCTTCTCCCCTGGAATTAGGTTCATCAAGAAGCTAGAACATACCTGGAAGGCCCTTGTCCATGACGGGGTGAGTGCCTGTACAGAGTCAGGAATTGTCCTCAGCAGGATTACCTGCCTTGGCTTCGTTTATGCTAGTTGGTGCCGATTAACTTGCTATTTATAGTGCCTGATCTGGCACAGTTGAAGCTGACGAAAGGAATCGTTCTTGCCTCTTATGCCTCCACAGCGGTGTAGTGCCACTTATTCCCAATCAGGTTTTCTTGCTCATTCCACCTCCTCGCATGTTTAGCTGTCGTGCTACCAGCTTTCCTCCTCTGCTCCCATCTGTCATTTTCCTCCTCCCCATGATACCAGGAGCTGTACGCACAAGGCGTGTGCATTCGTGTATGTGCTGAGGAGCCCCGTGTTTGCTCTCTTTGTGATTGTGTTTCCACTTCAGTAAGCTATCTGTTAATAAATCCCTTGCAGTGTTTCCCTGCTGTCTTGTCTCCTGCAGCAGCCAGGTGCGTGTTTACAAAAGAGCAACTTTGGATGTGGAAACTATTTTCCGTCATTGCATATTCTAGCTTCCCTTAAATAATAAGGCAAAGGAAATGTGTAGATGCCAAGTCATGGTAGCACAGTCAAACATCAGAAGCAAAGACAGCTTCAGCTTCACTATTTTAAAGAAGTGCAAACCATTTGAAACATATGGAGACCCTTGGCTGAATTTCGGTGTCTTTGTCATATGCAAAGGTGTTCACGTGTGCTTTGAATGTCAGCCAGCAAAGCCAGAAATTCGATGTCTGTAATCAGGCTAATATTGGAAAAATCCAGAAAGTCTACAAAGGAATAAAATCACCAAAATGCATTATAAAATTACAGCAAGAATCTAATCACATGCAATCAAATCAAAGGCAATGCTTCAGGCTTATTTATAGCATTAATCAGATCATTTCAGTTAAGCCTTTCCATTTTAAGGCTCTATCAGTGCTAAATATTGGAATAAAAAAGACTGCATTCATTGTTATAGAAATTCTGCCTTGAGGGATAATTTTAAAATTAAACAATTGCTTCTTGCCTTTGTAGGACACGGTGTCAGTACACAGACCCAGCTTTTATGCAGAGAGATTCTTCAAATTCATGACTAACACGGTGTTTCGAAAGAATTCCTGTAAGTACCCCGTCTAAGAGCTGTTGCCCTTGTGATGTGAGGCAAGCCTTATCTCAGCCTTGCTGCTTCAGTCCACGTGGAGAGTTTCTGGGCAGCCTGAGCAGGCTTTTCCACTGTAGGACAGAGCAAAGCTCTCGGGTTGTCAGGGCTTGCTTTGGTCTGCTCAGACTCCCACGGCGGAGCGCTGCCTGCAGCCTGACTCGGGCTCAGCCCTTTGGAGGTGGCACTTGCAGAACACGTGTCTGTCTGTCTGGGTCAGAGGGCAGAGGCCTCTCCCCATGAAGGGAAAAGTGCCTCTGGTGTGACAGTATAGTTGGTGGTCATTTCATCTTTCGCTCTTCTCCCCCAGCTCTGAAGTCATCTCCCTCGAAGAAAGGGCGTAGTGCCTTGCTAGCTGTCAAGACGGCCGGTCCAACAGCCGCGTTTTCAGCTAGCCAGCTTCCCTCTGAAAAGGACGAAACACAGTATGACCTTCGTGCGGCCAGGAGTTACCCCACGCTTGACGATGAAGGTAATGGTCTCGTTTGGTGGCTGATGGCTGTGTGATTACCCTCTTTTCTAGCAGTTCCTTAGGATCCTCCCCTGTTCTCATCAAGTTCCCTCACCCTGCACTGACCACTTGTCTTCCTTGATGGATAGCTCTTCGCTGCATGTCTTGCTGTGCTTTGCAGGTGCTAAACTTAACCAGGACAGGGGGGAAGGTAAGACTGTATTGTTTTGTCACAGCACCAGCAGTTAGTTGATTGGGGAAGCAACGCCTCTACGTTGAAGAAGACCGAATCCCTTCTTTGCAGCACTGTATGGTTCTGCGGTAAAAACGGTCACTTGCGTCACTGCTGCAAGGGAGCTGCTGCCAACTGGCACCAGCAGTCATAGCCCAAAAGCGATCAGAAAGTTGAATTTTCCACCCTTTAGGAAAAAAAAAAGGGGGGGGTGGTACTGGGAGCTGCAGGACTCTAATGACAGTGTTTTGACAGTTACAAGGGGCGAGATCTTGCCATTCAAAAAGACAAATGGCCTGCTTCTGTGCTGCCTTTTCATCGCTTCCATCTGGGCTGGATTTACAGATGAATGGTGAAGGACAGGCTCCTCGAGTGCACGAGTGTTAGATTTCTACCCATGCAAAGCAGTGAGCACTCGATTCATCTCTTAATTCACTTGGAAATTTATCTCTGGTGATCCAAGCCTTTAATCCAGCTTTGGTTACCACTGAAATGTCTTCACTGGCATTATGTTTTCTGTAGTGTCTGTCTGTCATGCTGGAAATGATGCTTACTGGCTCTCTCTAGAGGTTGCTTTGGGAGAAGCTGTTGTGTTCTTCTTGCCTGTTTGTGGTTTTAACTGACCAGTCCCATTGAGGGCTGTGCCCGTTGGTGGTGGAACAGCCTCACCCAGGCCTGGTGTAGGTAAGGTGTTGGTGTTTGACCTACTCCATCTTTTTCTTCCCGCATCTCCTGCCCTCCACTCTGGGCCAACAGGCAGGCCAGACCTGCTACCCTGCACACCACCTTCCTTTGAAGAAGCCACCACGGCCTCCATAGCCACAACACTATCTTCAACATCTCTCTCCGTTCCCGAGCGATCCCCTTCGGAGACCTCTGAGCAGCCCAGGTACAGGTGAGTACAGCACTTGTCCCGTGCTCCCACCGGAGTCGAGCAACTGCCGTTCCTCTCCGTGCTGCAGATCTCAGCAGGCTGCCCTATGCTCTGGAATGCTAATGACCGATTTTAATTAAATCTCTCCTGGGAGCAAGCAGACACAGCTTTGATGGGATTAATTATTGCTGGGAGAAGTGTCAGCTGTTAAGTAGAACATCTCCCTCATGGGGTGGAGAGTTAGATTTGGGGGCAGCATAGGCTTTCTGTCTTAGATCGCTCCTCAAACTCTACTCTTCTGGTTTTCTTTCTGCAGGAGGCGCACACACTCCTCAGGGCAGGATGGCAGGTGAGAAAAGTGTCTCATCTCTTCTTGCACTGCTGCACAGAGACCTCATGTTTGTCCTTGTGCAAAGGTCTTTGGAGAGGTGGATGTGAATCTCGGCAGCCCCAAGATACTGTTATGGCCCTCTGCAGGATGATGAGCTTCTTCCTGTAATCATGTGATTCCCATTTCTTACACAGAATTTTCCTTACAAGCAGATTTCTTGGTGCTTGCAAGGAATCTTAAATAAAATCTTATCTGATGGGAAAGAGGACAACAAAGTTGTCCAGATCTACCCACCCAACCAGCACCAGAATCAAGGAAGGTCATTTATGTCCCCCTCTGGGTAAGTCTTAACAGCAGGAACGTTCCTCCTCTGGCGTCTGCCTGCTGCCTGCGTGTGGTGGGTGTGAATATGGAAAAGGGCTTTGACTTTGTGAGTCACTGAGCACCCTTAGTTGCCAGAGAAGTAGCTTCCAGTGTTTTCAGAAACTTGGGGTATTTTGAGGGTGTTTTTTTTTCCCCTCCTGTGGTGGTAGGTGGCTCAGAGCCAAGGGCAGGGCAGGACAAAAATCCCCCTACTGCACAGGGATGTCTGGATTTAGAGGCGCATATTTTTGCACCAGTAAAAATGTCCCCGTTGCCTGTGTTGGCGGGATCTGCATGAGGACCCTGTGTTTGGTGCTGACTCTGCCGCAGCTTTCCAGGACATCTTGTCAGTGTTGTAGGCGCAGACATTAAAACGCACATCAGAGACTCGGGATATGCTGTAGGCAGAGGAGCTGCTGGACAGGCTGATGTCCTCTCTCCCTGCAGTCAGTGCTTGGTGCTTCAGAGGGAGACGAGGACTTTGGAAGATGAGGGTTTGCACTCTCTTACAGACTTCTCCCCTCATTCCTAGCTTTTAGTGATTTTCTGAGCTTCAGACCACATACACTGTGAAAAAATCCCTTTCTGTGGTATTTCTTAATAAAAATACCGCTGAATTTTGGTGAATTCTTGTCTCTGGAGAGTGAGGACCCATTGGTTTGCAGCAACTGTTAAAGTTTCAGGGAACTGTGAAGCACCTGCAGAACCGGTTGTCTGAAATGGCTGAAATTTGGAGACAAATTCAGGCACCAGTGGTGGGACCCGTTTGGCAAGGTGCAGCGACTTCCCCCGAGTTACTCCAGATTCCCTCGGTACCTAATGGAGGGAGTTACTGTAGGATGTGAGCGCTCATCCAGAAACAGGTCAAGTGAATCAGTGACTGTCCCTCGACTGTGCAGGGACCTTAGTGTCTTGGTCACATTTGTCACAGCTACAACCACCTCACTTCAGTGTGGCCGCCTTTGATGTTTTTTGCCACATTTCTCCATTTCTGGTGCTGGCGGTGCAGCGTGCCCTTTCTAGAGGAGCGGGGACCTGGGTGTTTGTAGAGCACTCTGTGATCCCCTGGTGAAAGCCAGTGCAAGAACAAAGTTATTAAAGTGTGAATTTACATTCCTGAGCTGAAATGAAAAAGACCTTATCCAATTTTCTCAAGATCGTTTCACACTTCTGATTATTTTAATCTGGTGGGGAATTCCCTCTGGATTTCTGAGATCCACCCCTGCGAGGAGGAGAGGAGAGGAGCAGAGCGGGTTCCCGGCTCGGAGCAGGGCAGGAGTGCCGCCTGCAGGCTCCCAGCCGGGGCCGCACGGAGCAGGACAGGGCTGCTGAAGAACCTGGAGCTTGTCCCTTCCCTGAGATTCTGCCCTGGGCTTGGCAAGTGCCCTCTCCTCCTTCCCATGAGGACTGTGGAGCCAGCACCACTAGTACAGGCAATTACTGTAACAGCATGAAGTATTCAGTTGAAGACTCTAACAAACGGCTCCTGGTCAGGCAGATAAATCTGATGTTAACCCTGGAGCGAGCTTGAGAAGCTTTGGTGTGCTGGGAGTCTTGGAAGAGTTTGGAGGCTTTGGCCCTTGTGCAGCTGATAGATAACGCTGGGCTAACTCTGGCCACAGGCTTTTCTGAGGCCAAATCTCTTTCCTCCCATGCTCTGTCACACTGCTTGTCTTTTCTGCAGCACTGGCTAATTAATCCTTTTCTTTCTGTCCTCTTTTTCCCACCTCGTTAGTGTTATGCACTGCAATCTGACAGGACTGACTCCTTTGCCCGGGAGTTTTGGTTACCCAGATCCTCCATCCTAGGCGGTCTGACATCTCCCTCTGAACTCAGATCAAGAGCTTGGTCTGTGCTGGGTGCTTGGTGCCCTGAGTGGCTGGCAGCAGGCAGGCGTGTGCCAGGGCACACCACTGCAGTGGGAGGTTGTGGTGAGAGAGGCTGGGCTGGCTGGGGACTGAATCAGGCTGACCTGAAATTGAGGACTTTGTGTAACTAGCGCCCAGCTGGGCCTGTCTCTCTTCGGTTTGCAGGTCACACGAAGAGGTGCGGGTTGAGGAGGAGCTTCAGCAGATCAGTGTCGAGCTGGAGCCCAAGTGTGACGTTGAGATCATAGCTCCCGAAGAAGATGACAAAGAGTGAGTGTTTCAGAGCGCTGAGCAGCTTTGCAGAACCCTACCCAGTGTCATTTGGTCTGTGGCAACTTGTGCTGGAGGCCGACTCTGCTGGGCACGCGCTTTCCTGGAGAGATGGGTGCTTCCCCCTGACAGCTGAGTGAAGCTGAGCATGGTTACTTCTGATCTGATCTTTCTGGGTGTGACAGCAGAGCATCTTGAGCTCCTCTGTAAAAAATCATACGGTCTTGCTTGATCCTTTTCTGATTGCAGTGACTAGAATCTGTCATTTTTTTCCACCCTTCCAGAGAGGCGGCTTCTTCAGCCTGTGCCATTGTAACGTCCACAGCTACAATAGAGGTGGAGACAGCCAGCCAGGCCTCGGAACCAGCCAGCCAGGCCTCCGATGAAGATGACGTGCCAGTCACAGACATATATTTTGTAAGACACCTTCTCCACCTGGCCTCTTAGGGGTGTGATGGGAAAAGTTGGACGAGGCTGTAACAGTCTCAGTTTCAGACAGGTGCAGGGCAGTGTCTGCCCCGCACCATCTTCATGTTGAGCACCTTGAGATCTTAATGCTGGATGGGTTTTTGAGTGCAGGGAACTGGATTAACCCTTGGAGAACTCAAAATAGCATCTACTGAGGCTCAGATGGGTGGTACTGCTGCTGTGGATGTAGCTGTGGGTGTGCTGCTCTACTTCAAAGCGCTGAAGGGCTTATCTAGGCCAGCGCGTTCCCTCCTGGGACAAGCCAAGGTGAATGTAGGTGCAACTGAGAGGTTCTTCCTTCCTCAGCCACAGAGCCTGGCAGCTTTCCTGAACACACACGTGCCTCAGTGGCCTAAAGCCAGAAGGGAGGTGGTTACAGTGGGGCTGACCTCGGGCTCTGGTGAACTCTGGCTTTTCCTTTCCCTGCAGGCAGATGCATTAGGTGATGCAGTGGAAATCTAGTGCTGAGACAGGGTGTAAGTGAGGTGGTTGCTGGTTGGCAGCAGAGTGCCGTGGAGCCTGGCGCTGTGTTCCTCAGCTCTTGCAGTGTCTGAGCAGCTTCTGCAGACCAGAGAAGACTTTTTAGCCACATGTACCTGCCCCTGCCCAGTGGATTCCCAGAGCAGAGCTGAGGGTCTGACCTATGAGGGCTTTCCTCCATGCCTGGGCACTGGAACGAATTCTCATTAAAAGAAGTACCTGGCTCCTGTCTGCTCTGACTTGTTGCTGTCTGTTATGTGGCGATGAGCTGAGCCCTTCTGATGAGCTCCTTCAGGCTCACCTAAAAATGGCAACGTTTGCCTTTCCCTGTGCTTGTGTGACTCTGCTGCAGAGCTGCTCACTCATTGCCGAGTCATTCCGAGGCTCGTGGGATCTGTGGAAGGAATCAGCTCCATTTTAAAAGCTTGTCTGTTTGGGTTTTCATGCATGCTGTTCAAAATGCAAACAGTTCCCTCTAACACTGGCTGCTCTTTCTTTGCCTGTGGATGGCAGCTGTGTGCAAGCTGCCTGCACATGCTGCCTCCCCACTGGCAAGTGTCTTCTAGCAAGGGTCAGCACCTCTTCCTCCCTGTCTCTGGGCATGTGGGCTCCCCCAGCTTGAGGGGCACCTCTTGATCCGGAGGAAACCATCTGTGTGCAGTGTGTGCTCACAGAGTGTGAGTGACTGCTCATCAGCATTTCATACTTCATCTAAGTCCTTGAGTTTTGCATTAAATGTGTGTCGTGTGCTGTGGAGTGTTTGTCACTGCTGGGATGAAGGGAAAAGCTGATTTGGGCTCCCACGGGTGCTTTCCTTGGAAAACTACTCAAGCTGGAGCTCAAGTGAGGCTGCAGCAGAGCTTGGCCCGCAGCTGCTCTCTCGCAGGAGAGCTACAGGGGCGATGCTCGGTGACGGGATGCTGTGTGCAGAAGAGGATTTGTCAAGTCCCAGGGGACTGTGATCTGATCTTTGGAAGTCTGCTCTGAAAGGAGAGCACTTTATACTCCTGTTCACCCACAGGGGGATAAAAGTGCAGAGATTGTGGCAGGGCATCGGTGCTGCTCTTCCCACGCACGGCTTTCCTGCCTGCTGATCTGTTCAGGCCTGGAGTTGCCCAATCCCTTGTTTTTTGCTTTCTTTTTCACATCATCCTTTTTTTCCTCTTTCCTTTCTCACTTCACTTGCCCTGGGGCCATCCAGTTCACAGATGGGAGGTACTGGATTTACTCTCCCCGTCAGCGCAGAGTCCGAACCACCTCGCTTTCCTCTGGGATTGTAAGTGAACTTGTAGGGAAGCAGAGCTGCAGCTTTGAAACACTGAGGCCAGCACTCCCTTTCCCTTGGATGCTGTGGCTGTATTGTGTGGCCCTTAGGAGCCAGCCCAGCAGAAACCAGGGAAGCGTACCGAATTCCCCCAAATGCACGTCCCTGTAGAATCTTGCAGAAACACGTTCTGCTCTGCTTTCCTGCAGGCTGGTGACACAGCTCCTGCCATGAGATGGGCTGATCACCCAGCCTTGGACAAACTTGGCAGCACCAGACTTGGCCAGGGAAACACCTGAGCCTTTGTAGGTCATGTTAGGCTTGGCTCCCTTGGCCCAGGAAGCCAGAGAGGGTTCCAGAGAGACCATTAAGATGTTTTGAAGCTGCTAAAAATCCTGTTGCAAATAAAACCTTTTAGGCTTGTGGCTGGTCATCTTTCTGGTGGCTGGGATGGTGAGCAGCTCATAAAGACAAACGAGTTAGAAGTTGCTGCTGGGTTGGGAATGGTTTCTGCTCTCCAGCCCTTCTCAGAATCACTGATATGCTCCCTCCTCGCTGCAGGTTTTCTGTGAGCGGTAAGGATTTTCCTTTCCAAAAGATACAGGGAGGCAGTTGAGCATTTGAGGGGATTAATCCAGAGCTCAAGACTGCTCTGGGTTTTAGTATTTCCTTTCTCAGGCTTTGGGAGAGCTGATGTCCTCAGAGGGTAATGGCAGCGCTGTCAGAGCCTCGGCACAAGCATTTGTGTAGCATGGTCCTCCCAGTGCCTGCCCTTTTGGTACCAGGCAGGGGAGCAGTGGAGAGGGCATCAGGCAGGGTGCATGGGGAAATGGGCAGTAACATGCTCCTGGCCTTGGCTGATGGCATGAGGAAAGTGCTGCACCTTCATGGGCAAGCGGGCCACCCCTCCCAGCAGCTCCCCCTGCCCCCTTGGCTGGGTTTGGCTGCCTCAGCACTGGGAGGGTTAACACCGAACACCAGATGCTCCTTTATCCACCCCCCCCCGCCGGCTTTACAGCTCCCTGCATGCATCTGAGCTCCTAAAAGGCTCTGAAGGAGGCTGACTGGAGCATGCGGTTCAGTCAGGATGGATGAAAAACAGGATGTGGGGCAGGCTTTATGCAGTGTTGAGCTTTCCTGCACATCTAGCAGAGCCCTGTAAGAGGCTCCAGGCAAGGGTTTCTCTTCCCTCCTTCCTCCCAGCGGTCTCTGCTGATTTAGCTGCAGCTTTTGATGGGGTTCAGCATGCGGAGCCCAGTGCTTCAAAGCTCCTCTGGCTTCTTGTAGTTTCTTGTACATCACAGACTGTTACACTTGGTTCCCAGGCTGGGAACCCCCCCAGGCTTCTTCCAAGTACCCAGCGCTATTTGTCTTCCTTTGCAGACCCCAGGCTGAGTCAAAGGGGGCAGTTTTCTCTCTCTGGGAGCACCCCTGGAGCCAAAAGAGCCTGTCTGCAGTGGAAGTGGGTCCCTGGGAACACTGGGAGCAGACACCAGCCCTTGAATCTGCCTGGGCTTCTCTGTGCTGTGTTGGCAGCAGAAGTGTGTTTTGTCACACTGGTGCCCACCGCTGTGATAACGGGCTCCCTTGACACACGTCCCCTTCCCCCTCATTCCTTCCAGGATCCAGCTGTGTTTTGCCTCCTCTGTTGTACCTGTTCCCATCACCCCGCTGTCTCCAAGACTGTGTTAACCATTTGCTTTCTGTGGCCACCATCCACCACGGTCTAACCCACCTATCTGCTGCCTTGCTTGGCCTGCAGGGAAGGGGGGGAAGGCTCAGCAAACCGGGTCAGGTTTCACTCTAAAAGCCCTCCTGGACACCAGAGATGGCCAGCTTGTAGCATGCACAGGGCTCAGGAAATGGGAAGTTGAGAGCTGGAACTGGGTAGCAGGAACAGAGCTTTGTCACTACCCTTAGTTAAGTCGCTTCCCGTGTGTCTCGGTTTCTCTGGAGCTGGGGCGATGCTATGGCAGGGAGAGGAGGTTTCCCTGACATCTCAAAAGCTCTAGAAGTCCGTCCCTGCAAGAGGAAGGGTTGTGCCATCCCCACTGCAGCTGGAGCAGGGTCCAGGGTCAGCTGCTGGCCGGCTGTCCCATGTCCCAGCTGGTAGGGAGCAGTTCGTACTGAGGAAGGGGAAGGCTCCTCTGCTGAGAGCTGGCACTGAGCTCAGTTCTCTCCCTCCAGGTGGTACAGCTGTTCTTACTGTATTGTTTCCTACTCTTTTTATTTTCTCCTTTTATTTTTTCCTCTTCTCTCCTTTGCTCCCTGCTCTGCTGCTGCTCTCCTTGCATTCTCCCCGCCGTCTCTGGCCACTCTGGCAGCCGACAGACGAGAGGAGTTGGGTTTACTCCCCGCTCCACTATAGCGCTCAACTCCACTCTGTCTCCGATGAGGAGAGCGATACAGTAAGTGTACCAGAAACGTGTGCCGGGTGCCTGGTGGGTCGAGGTCAGAGCTTGCGCTGTGCCTCTGCGCAGCATGGGGCTCTTGCATGGCTGCGGCAGAGCCCTGCTGCATCTTGGATCCGCTCTGTGGCAGCAGGCAAGATCCTTCTGCTCTGGCAGAGACCCGATCTGCTCCGCAAGGGTTGTGGCTTCTTCCATATTGTTTGGTGCAGTGAAAGCTTTGGGGAGCTGGAGTTCTCCAGTCGTGTTGTCATTACTGGAGGATGTGAAACAAACAGCCTTCTCTCTCGGTGCTTGTTTTGACTCTGGGGAGTTGGCTGGGCTCAGACCTAACTGGAGGCGGGGGGGTGCCTGGGTGATGACTCTCTTCTCTCCTCTTGCAGTAATCTCTATGCAGACACAGAAGCCCCAGAGAGCAGCAATTCCCTCTGCAGGTCGATGTGTTCCCTTTTCGTTGATGCAGCCGTTCCAGTGGGATGGGGAAGAGCTTGCTGACACCAGTATTGCTGCACTGCAGGATCTCAGGCACTGCATTTCAGAACGGAGCAAAACTATAACCGTGTATTTCTACTTATCCCAGACGTGGGCAGCAAAGAAACCACCCGCTCACCCACAACTCCCAACGGAGACACCCAGCTGGGTGTAGAGAATCCTGGGTAGTAACACAGTGTTTTCCAGACGTGCACTATCGTAGCTACCTATCCATGTGTGATACTGTGAACCTTTTTAATTTTTTAACCATGTATTTATTTCTTTTATCTTTGCACAGAGACAGCACAAATGTGCTTTTTTAAACATTTAGTTTACTGCACTTTTTTTTTTTTTTTTGTTATTGTTGTCATATATTTGTGCATCAGAAAGGAGTGTGAGACCTCACTGGAGAATTGGTAGGAGCACGTTGCTGGGGAGGGCAGGGACCGGAGTGGCTTCATTTGAGGCAGCAGTGTGGTCTAACCAACTGATGGAGTCAGGAGGTTTAAGGCTGTCCGGGCTCTGCCACGGTTTTGCCGAGTGACCTAAAGCAAGTCACTTAACCACTCTGTGCCTCGGTTTCCCCCGTGCTAATGGGTGTTCAGTACCCAATTCCGTTAAAGCACTTAAACCCTGGGATGAAAGGTGCTATGTAAATGCAATGTATTAAAGGCCATTGAGTAGAATTGCTCCCATGTTACAGTAGTCCAAAGTAGCCATGCCAATTTACAGGGATTCAGAAATCGCTAGTGACTTCTCTTGAGCTGTAACACTGTGCGAGGGAAGCAAATGATTCCTGGTGACAGTGACGTGGTCACCTCGGCTCTTCTCCGGACATCACGATGGGTTCTGCCTTCGCCGTGTGCTGCACTGCTGTGTCACCCCGTCCCTCTGTGCTTGGAGCCCACGTTTCGTCTCACCGGCTGCCACACCACCGCCTGCTCCAGACACACGGGCGCGGACAGAGGAGATCTGTGCACCACCAGGGACCAGCCGCGCCGGAGGGCGGGTTCCCCGCTCCACCCTGCCCCAGGTGTGGCTCCTCCGGACCCTGCATCCCACTGCAGCCACTTAGCACCTCGCATGCTCATGGGTGTATCCGACCGCCCAGTCCTTGGGGGTCGTGAACATCGGGTTCACACGCATCCTCCGTACCTCAGGGTGCTCTGGGAGGCGCACGCATGTCCACGCTCGCTAGAGGCAGAAGCGGAAGCCTGGCTCTGCCACCTGATTGTGCCAGGCAGTGTTGTGTTCCTGGACTCTCTTGGACAAATAGCTGGGTGACTGGGATGTTGCCTGTGGTAACATCTGCTCTTGGAAATTGCTGCCTTGGATGTCTGAGATAGTTTTTGCTTTTCGAGGGCTGCAGGCTTTAGGCGAGAGGATTTGGTGTCACTGGGTAGTGTTCAGACTGGGCTCATCCATCATACACCATAGCATTGTCTTGAACTCTAGCAATCCCATCCTCATCTCCCAGAGAGAAGAAAGGAAATCCTTTAGGCCAGAGGGAGCCAGGTCTTAGTCATGTTCTTTACAAGCCTCACTTGAGAAAGAGGGACACAAATTCTTTATTCTCGTTAATGTCATTGGAATTCCTTGGAGGAGGAGTGGGGAAGCAGGACCCTTCTCTTGGGGCTCAGTCTCCCTGACCTCTCTTCACAGCAGCACTCAGGATGGATTAATTCAAGTCCCAGAAGGTAACTGGGCTGGTGGGAAGCTCTTCCCCTCTCTTATGTGCTGAACTTGGTGAGGATCTTCATGAATTGACATTTTCTTGCCTAGAAGTCTGGGACCTAGCCTTCCCCCCCTTGCCTACAGATGCTGAAGGCTGTAACGCGAGCTTCTCTCGAGAGCACAGGCTGGGGATCTTGCAAGCTGCTACCATTAGATGTATTCATCTATTTACCAAATAATCTATCAAAAGTCTTTCAAGAAACTCTCCCCTTTCAGTCGCTACTTGACAACTCGTTGTTCACCCAGCTAGTAGCGTTGCTCCATGGCAGCCCCTGCAGTCGGCTGGGAGGGGGCTCCCAACCCACCCCGTCTGCTTGTGCCGGTCCCACCCGGGCTCTGCTCAGCCTGGGCAGTGCTGGGGGGGCTCAGTAGTTTGGAGGAGGGGAGACGGGAGGAGTGCAATACCTACAGACTAACCTGCCTCTGAGCTGAAAGCAAGAGGCTTTGAAATACTAAAAATTCAGCCTTTGTTTTTTTCCCTCCAGAAGCATGATACCATGCGTGGAGAGGCCAGAGGGAACCATATCCCTTCTGCATCTTCAGATGTTGCTCTTGGGTGCTGCGCTGGAGGAACGCAGGAGGTTTGGGCTCAGGCTGTCTGACCTGAGGCCCAGCTGTCCTGGTACCACCATGTTCATGGGCTGGTGGGTCGGGACTTCCCAGCCAACTGAAATCAAGCATCTTTGTTAAGATGGTTTAAGCATCATTGATGGAGACTTTATTCCTTCCCCTCATTTCAGGGGTCTCTAAGGCTGCTTTAGCCTGTGTGCAGGGAACATCTGAGCCCCACCTTCACGGAGTATCTCAGTGAATGAACATTGCAAGCTGGAGCTGTGCTTGGTCCCAAGAGATGTGGGGAGACCCAGACCTTTTGCAGCATGTTCATTCCAAGTGTCTTTCCTCAAGCATTCAGGCTTTTTGAGACAATCCTTGTGCAGTTCTGTAACACTGAACCTTTTGGAGTGAGCAGGTCTGGACACAGAGGGTTGGTCCTCTGTGAAGAGAACACGTGAAGGGCTTAGAGCAGCTTTGTCAGCATGAGGGGCAGGAGCAACCTTCCTTTGGGGAGATGTTGATCTGAAACAGAAACTGCCCCTCTCTGGGCTTGCATGTGCTGCCTACCTACTGCCCAGTTAACTCGGTGCTGGAGAACTGCACAGCCTCCACTTCCCATGGAAGCTAAAAGGACCTCGGAGTTTAAAGCTTGCTGTTAGTTCACCTCTGCACTGTGCTGCGGCAGGAGAGCGTTGGGGAGCTTGGGAGCGTTTCCCAAGCACCGTCAGCGCTGCCTTTGCAGGGGACACAGTCAGAGGGGGCAGCACTAGGTCTTGTCCACAGGAATGAGCATCGGCCCTTTTTTGAGGAAGAGAACCATGACCTGTCCTTGGTCTGAGTGTCCCTCCAGCTATACTTCCAGCTCATCAGGGACATGAATTGCCTGTACTTTCTCTGTCAGGGCTTTCTCTAGTGACCCAGCAGCTTGTCAGCGGGTGCTGTAACCCCTTCATTCTCTCCACAGTTACAAGGAGGCACTGACTCCTCCGAGATTTGAGCAGAGCAACCCTCTGAGACAGCTGGTTCCCACGTAGCTCTGTTTGCTGCTGCTCTTCACCCCCATCATCCCAGCTGGGACTCAGCTCTGCGAGACATGCCCTGAACATTGTGTGGTGTGGAGGCTTCTAGTGAGCTCATGGCTTGGGCTTTTGCCAAACTGCAGGTGGCTGCTGCCTGTCACGTATGCATTGGGCAAGAGAAAGTGGGCATCTCTGTGCTTGCTGTCAAGCTCCTGTACTGGCTCCGCCCTTAGCAGGCAGGTGTAGAGCAGAAGGCACGGGGCAAACCAAGGAGCTGTTGTAGAGAGCCCTGAATGCTCACGCAGGGGATCCAGCTTCTGTCTGCTGGTGCCTCTGCGGTGAGCGGCTCAGCCACGAGTGCCGAAATTGCGCTTTGGGAAGTTTTCTTGGTGAAGGCAGAGCACTTGCAGGTCTTGGCAGAGGGCTGGCACAGGCGCAGTGGCTCCATCACCCCGGGTTGTCCCTGGGCTCCCGAAGCACGGCCCCTTTCCCCCAGCTCATTCCGGCCACCCTTGTGCTCCAGCTCTTTCCAAAAAGGACAAGGTGAAAGCTACGGCTCAGGCGTACCGGGTCATGTCTGATTTTTCTTTCCATTGATGTCTACATTAGACCCAAGTATGTTCTATTGGATGTTCATATTCCCACTCGTTTCCCGTGTCCGCTCTGTGCGTGCACCATGTAACGAATGTATGTAAGTAGGGGGGCGCGGGGGTGATGCCAACCCGTGGGTGTTGTCATGTTTCTCTTCTTTTGGGGGGGGTTTAAGTCATGGGCGCTTTTTTTTATTGGTTGTTTCGAGGTTTGGTTTTTTTTTTCCCCTCCCTCTCCGGGGAGCCCTTGTTCCAGAGAACTGTAAATGGATGCTATCTGTCCTCGGCTCTGTGATAAAGCGTACTCTAGTCTGTGCTGTGCTCACTCCGGGCGGCTCTGCCTCCTCTCTCCTGCGCTCGCGGCCGGGCCCGACCGCCCCTTTCGGGGACAAAACGGAAGAAAAAGGAGGAGAAAAAACAAAAGGGGAGGGGGGGTGTGACCGCCGCGCTCCCCCCGCCCGGCGCCGCCTCCCG